ATATAAAAGTTCAAATTTGTATGAGTCTATTGGTCATACTTTAATATATGAAACATACTTTAATATTACGGAGAAGCAAAGCGAAGTTTTAATAAGAAACATTTAACAAGACAACTACAATTGCAATCACGTGCAGATAGTGAGATACTTCTACTCACTCTGTTTTATGGTCTTTTTTGTGCTCTTTAAAAAATAAATGAGCAAAAATTTATCCTAAATTAGAAGTGAACTCAAATTTAATCTAAAAACTATTAATTGATAAACAATAAGTTAATTAGTTGATTTTGATAATAAGATAGAAAAATATCATATCAAGTGTTTTCCATATAGCATAAGAGAAAAGAAATATCATGTTGAACTTTAGGACCTCAAATTTTTTAGTAAGAAATTCTAAAAAGTTTTACAATAATACTATTTGTAAAATGGTATTTACCCTTACTCTTTTATCAAATCTGTTGGCCAACTTGACTATTAGGTTCCGACAGATACCTTTGAATAATATTATTTGGACCTAAAAATTTGACATAATTTGTTGATATAATGATGTGGCTTCAAGAGAACTATTGGATCAATACCAAGTTTCAATGTTTGATGGTCTCCACAGTCAATCCAAATATCATAGTGAATTAGGTTAATAAATTTGATCAATAAATTAAGTCTCAATAACATTGCTCGTTAACTTTTGATGCTTATCATTTATTAGACCCTAATATAAAACAGAATAAAAAAAAAAAGACTCACATGACTAATAAATTAACACTTGAGAATCTATCATTAACGTCATTCCGTGGTCCCCATCTTACATATTTCATGTCATTATATTCTGTTTTTTTTTTTTTTTTAATTTTATTGTTAGCTTAATTAACTCAAGTCAATTTAGCAAGTCATCCAATCATATTAACATAATAATAGGGTGGACACCCTCATCACCTCCAGTGCAACTATGTAACATATTTTTATGCCAGCCTTAATTCCATGGATTTTTTTTATAAATAAAATGGTTTGCCCAAAAATAATAATGAAAAATCAGTTCAAGAAAGATATAAAATTAAAAGATTAAGAAGATCCAACTAATCTATATAATATGACTGCTAGTAATTTGAATCACACAAGTTATAAAGTATAATAATAACGGTCAATATTGATCAAATTTTTATTTATTTTGATCAAATGATACAAAATTCATCCCATAAAATTATTTTTTGCTCAAAAATATTATTTTCCCTACATAGTTCCTAATCTCAGACAACATAACTTACACGCTCAACTCCATTAATTCACACTTACTTCTTTGCTCTCTCTCGTATCTCTCTCTTATTTTTGATATGTTTACTTCAATTTTAAATTTTATAATTAAAAATATAAACTATTATTAAAAATATAAATATCGTACGAGAAATATTTGATTATTTGGTATTATAAAGTGTCTTTAAACACGAGATTATTTCTAATATCTAAATAAGTTGACTAATAAATAGCTTCATTCTCTATGTGTCCAAGGGTGAAATAGGGTAGAACTTTTAGAAGGTGAAGCTCACCCCATTGTAGTGGCATGATTAGAATCATATCATCTAGCAAACGAGCATGAATAATGAGACATCTTATTAAAAGCAAAATTAACATGGGATAATGGAATTGAATCTTGATCATACAATTTCTATTGCATAATTGTGATGGATCAAACTTCACTTTGAATATGTTATTCGGCTTAATAATCTGACCCAATATCAGTTTATTTGGTGCAGTATTATTCTTTATTTTTATGACTAGAATTATGACAATCTCACAAAAAGTTATCTTATCATTTCAATTACTTCTAAGTTCAAATAACTAGGAGAGAAAGAGAGAGAGCTTATCATAAACTTAACCCTCCTCACCTATAACCCAACCTTATTCACTGTCATGTGATGGAGCTTTACTTTGACTTCATCTATGCCTCGATGGTTTTTGCCTCAAGTACACACTCCTTTAGGACCACGGCTTTTAGAATAACCATTTATAATAAAATAATAAATGGATAGAATTCTTTTCATCCCTACAAGTAACCATGAACTTCCCATTAAACCCTTGGCCATTTTCTTCACAAACTTGAATATGGGAGACAAACCCCCAAACCCTTCTTACACACCACCATCACCTCCTTCAAGATCCAACTTACCCATGTTATACTACGGCCTCGTGGTCGTCGTAACGGCTTTCATCATTCTCGCAATCTACAACCTAATCATCATAAAATGGTGCACGGACCACCATCGTCGATCACGGCGGCGAGAGACTCGAACTCAGGACCTCCAGATAAGTCGGAGTTTTGACAACCCTAATAGAAACTTGGTGTCTAGCTTCAGGTACAGGAAAGAGGGGGTGACTCAGGGTGAAGGAAACGATTATGAATGCCCTGTTTGCTTATCGGTGTTTGAAGAAGATGAAGAAGTAAGGCAACTTCCAAGTTGCAAACACTATTTTCATGCTCAATGTATAGATATGTGGCTCTACTCTCACCGGGACTGCCCTCTTTGTCGTTCTCCAGTGCTTCAACGGCATGTAGTTACAATTCACCCGGAGGATGCTAGAGATGGATTGCTAGTTTCAGGCATCGTCTTTTAATTTTCATTTTCCTTTTTATTCCGCTTTGTTTTTAAATACTTACTGTGAATATATATGCAAAACGATGTTCTTGTAGATGATGTACTTGATCGGTGGGTGTTTTTGTCAAAAAATGGTTGGCAGTTAAACATAATACAGGCTCAAATCAATTGTCAATTCAAGAATACAACCGAGTGGGAAGTCTAGTACCGGACGAACTTTTCACGAATGTACGTTGGGGTTCGAGTTATGCTAACTTAGTTAAATTTATTTTTAAGAGAAATAATAAATCGGGCCAGGCCAGGCCAGCCACCTCATGATTTCATAAGTGATCAGGATAGTTTATAAACGCTCTTTTTTACCTAACTCTTGTTTTATGTTAGAAAAAAATTATAAATTCAAGAATTATACAGTTATTGTAGACAACTAATAAATTTATCCATTTATTATGCATTTGCGGTTTTTGCCGTCAAGGCATCAAGTAATGATTTTACCTCGTTGGTGTCAAACATGAATATCTTTATTTTCGGAACAACAAATTCGGCAACCTAACATCGTATGAATATTTTTTAGTTTTTAAAATTTTAATTTAGTAGTGGACTGCGAAAAAAAACCAATTTGTTTTTCATTTAGCTTTTCTAAGATGTTGATCAAGTAAAATTCAACTTCTGTACCCAAATGTGTCACGAATTTAGTTGAAGAAAAGTGTTTTCTAATTCTGTAATTTTTAATGGGTTAATTGTAATTGTATTATGAAAGATCGTTCAAATCTCAATTTACACACTTAAAAATAAAAATTTATATCAATGTGCACCCTCAATGATAAAAAATCTTAATTTGTACCCTCAAATATAAAAATTTGTATCAATGTGCACCTAAGATTAATCGCCGTCAGTTTGTTGCCTAAAATTAAATTGATAAATTATACCTAGATCCCCTCATGCTTGTCAATTAATTATTTTGACTCTTTCACATTTAGAATATTACCCATACATCTCATGACGTTTGTGCACGTTTCGTTGATATATGTTAATATAATCATTAAAAAATATGATTTTATCCTAATAAAAAATTATAATTTCATATTACCCTTTATTTTGTGAGTCTAATATACTCTAAAGTTTAAAATCAAACTTACCATTTAAATGTCTAATAGAATATAGATATTTATATAATATTTTTTTATATTCAATACAATATATCACTCAATGTGCAACCCTTTATTCTATTAGACATTCAAATTATAACGAAAAGGAGTTATGTATTATATGTGCACAAACGTTATGAGATGTAAGAATAATATTCTAAATGTGAGGGTTCCAAATGATTAAATGATAAATATGAAGGGATCTAGGTATAATTTATTAATTTAGTTTTAGGTACAGATTAATATAAATTTATATCTTTGAGAGTGCAAATTGAAATTTTTGAATTTTTAGAGGTGCACATTGATACAAATTCTTATCTTTAAAGGTATAAATTAAAAATTTTGATCTTTGAAGGTATAGATTGAGTTTCGAGAACAATCTTTCAGAGTGTAATTTATAATTAACCCATTTTTAACTCATGATTTTGTATACGAAATTAATATGAATACGAAACAATCATTATCCACACACAAATAATAAAACTTAAATACAATATAAATTCAAAATTATACAATGTAAACCTAACAAAGGGACGACTAGACAAAGGATGGCGATTTAAAACAATGCCTAGAATCAAGTTTAATTATAAATAATAATAATTACGGGGAAGTTTAGGTTTGCATTGGGAGAAGATTAATTTTATAAGTCAACCAAGTCGGCCTAGGTAATGAAAGAGGCGGTAAAATAGTGGGCGGCTTCATAGTTATCCTTGGTCCTTTTCTCATGTATATTTGTCCATTTTCAATTTAGATCAAACCATGTGATTGTCTTTATCTTACTAGTCGGACCCACTCACCGGAACAAGAGATGCTTCACTTAAAAAAAAAAAAATTGTCATTAGTTGCAAGTGTGGGTTTTACTGTAGGGAAAACTCCCAGTTTGCCCTCGAAAGATATTGATTTTTTCGCTTTATCTCATGAATGATTAATTGTTCCATATTTCCCTCTGAAAGACAGTAAAAAATTGCAATGTAGTCAATCGTCATTTTTTCGTTTGTCGTCCGTTTGATTTTGTTATCACACAGGGAGGGGCTATATTGTAAAAAAATTTCTGTGCAAACCCATGTCTTCTTCTACCTAAGTGATTGGGGGAATGTACAAAGAAAGAGAGAGAGAGGGAGAGAGAGAGAAAAGCATCCAAACCTATTCTTGTTTCTCCGGCAAAACACAATGATTTGAATCTTGATTAGAGAGAGACGATGAAGATTACTTCGTTTTGGAGTCATTATTATGATCTAAATCTGGAAGTCTATAATCTTCAAGAAAAGATTTAAACTCCTCCTCCAAGTATGACATTGCGCTTTAGAATTCCACCAACGTAGTTGATCGATGAACCGTACTTTGATTCTAACGAGAATATGCAAAGTGATGTTGATAGCTTGAAGATTCGATTCACAGCTTCAAGAAATGTTGTCAAGTCCTCCTCTGTGATTTGACTCCATTTCAATGGGGTATTAGTTGAATCATAGTTTGCGATCTTTGTTTCGACAAGAAGAACAAATTGTTCTGCGAATTCTGGAATCTCTGGGAGTTCGGATTCATCACTTTTTAAGCTCGACAAAATAGAGGTGAATTGATCGATCTCTACAGAGACTTGAGAGAAATTGGGAGTCTCAAGAGAAGAAGAGTCTTCAATCTCTGTATTGATTTGGTCTTCTTCCCCTTTGTTCACTGTCTCGGCATTGTCTGGTTGGGCTTCTTCAACCTCCATGGATGTTTTAGACAGTGGGGGATCGGTGGTGTTATGGTCTTTATCTTGGTCTATGTCAAGATCGTGATGGTTAGGCTGGTTGTTGTTAAAGCTTGGGGATTTCTCAAGAAGAGGCTTCTCCGTATTGGACTCCATGGAAGCCTATGGGGTAATGGGTTTGGATGCTTCTCTCTCTCTGTACATTCCCCCAATCACTTAAGTAGAAGAAGACATGAGTTTGCACAAAAAGGATTTTACAATATAGCCCCTCCTGTTATCACGTGCAAATCACGTGATAACAAAATCAAACGGACGACAAACGGAAAAATGATGATTGACTACATTGCAACCTTTTAATGTCTTTCAAGGGGCAAAGTGAAAAAATTAATAATTTTGACTAGAATCATTTATAATTTTTTTTGGGTATTTATACTACTTTTTAAGTAGATTTTACTAATTTTTAAAGTGCACTTGTTTTTGTTTTCACTTACCATTTTTTTGAGTGAAGCTCATCACATTTTGAGTAAAATTTACCACCTTTTAGATTATTTTTTTTTAACTTTTGATATAATATCGAAAAATTAAAAAATGATACCTTGGTGTTTTGTGATTAAAAGAGGTGGTTCCATCATCACTATAGATACTTCAAGTTTTGCAAGTAGCATGCCTCATTTTTTGGGGGTAAAAAAAAAGATAGCGAAAAAAGGAAGACTGTTAATCAAGAATTGACGTCTCATGACGATCCTGTCTACAGTTGCTACTATACTCTTACATCCGAATAGAGTGATCCGTACTTTGGAAATAATTGCAATGTGACTATTGTTTGGGGAAGACAATATGCTAAGCTTATATCGTTCAGCAGTTAAGTTTTGGTAAATGTCGTTGCGTATTGTTTGAAATTCAGACTCGTAGTAAGAGTAACAGAGCAAAAGAGAAATGTTACACAAACCATAATTTTTATCAAATTTTTTTTACATCAAATCAAATCTTAGATTGACGAGTCTCAAGATTGCCACTAAACTTTTAATGAATAAGATTGTCTCAAATCATTTCATAAAAAAAATCATCTATATAATAAAGTACAATACAATTTAAATCTCAAAAAACAAATAAAATGATTTTTACTTGTCGCGTTTGAGATATCTTTAATTTTAATTTAAAGTTAATTTGATAACTAATATTAGCACCACAAATTTAATAAAAAAATAAGGTCTCTAAAGGAGTGTTTTGGGTAACTTTTAAAAGTGCTTCTAATACTTATAACTTCTCATAAATACTTTAAAAAAAATACTATTTGGGATTGCCCCACCACCACCACCGCCGCCACCAACCCCCACCACAATCGCCACCCATCACTAAATGCTACCACCGTCGCCTACCACCCACAACAATTGTAATCTCATTCTCTTATTTATTACTACTACCACTATCATCACACTACAACAGTCGCCCACCGTCAGTACCCACCACCACCATTGTTGCACACCACCACCCACTGCCACCCATCACCACCTGTCGTCGCCCACCATTGGTGCTAGCTACTGTCAACCACCACCACTACACTTACCATCATCACCCATCATTGCCCACCACTACTGTCACCCACCCCCACCACACCTATCACCACCGCCATTCATAATCATTTCTGTCACCCACTGTCGTCGACGCCACCCCCACTACCACTTGCACCATCCCCACTACCACCACCCTTACCACGACGATCACCACCATTACCCCTACCGCCCTACCTCTACCTCCACGATTATCACCACTACCACCACCACTATCACCCCACTACGACTGCCATCCACCAACAATTCTTTTAAATTGGCATACACAAAAGGTACAATACAGTCAATTGATACTAATAAATATACATTGGAATCTACACCTTTTTTTTTTTTTTTGTGGAATACAACATTTAAAACAAAAAAGACATGGGAGAGTTGTATGTCGGTTATACATACCAATATTATAAGGGCGGAGGGTTGTAGTAGCCGCCCTCAATTTTTTTCTTAATTTTATATATATATTATAGTTATTTTTTAAAATATTATTTGTTGTGCCCACCTTAAAATTTGTCTTGATTTTAAGAATTTTGGTTTTAAATTTAAAATTTTAAGATGAAATTACTTTTAATTGACCTACAATTGATTTCTATTTTTTTACAATTAAAAATTTATTTTTTTTCCATTGGATTGTAGTAATATTATTACGCTTACTTCTTAATTTTTTGTAATAACTTTGCGATTTTAATATAAAATATAAAAACTCATCAGCGTCAATTATAAATAGATGTAATAAGTCTCACATTTCGATAAGAGTTGTAATTGATTTTATTTTTACTTTTATTTTGATCATATACAATATATGTATCAACTTTTAACTCTTTTCAATTTAATGAGTTTTTATTATGAAATATGACGTAATTAATATAAATGTATCACTTTACCTTTATAAATTGAGAGGAAAAAAAGTTAAAAGTCAGGGTTATTCGAGATAAATCTATTCTAAATTTAAAGATAATTTAACTATCAATTAAAGAAAGACAATTATGTGAGATTATATCTAGACAACCAACGAGTCTTTGGTCTAATGGTACTCTTTACCTTGTGAAAGCTTTGTCTTTTTAAGGTCAAGAGTTCAAGTCTCTTTCTCCCCTCCCCTCCCCCAAAAAAAATTATATCTAAATACCTTCAATAGAGTTTGATCTATTTTGAATTTTTTCGTAAATCAAGTGTAATTACCCGTTAACTTTAATATATCTTTTTTGGTAAAAAATAGTATTGTTTGATAATGGCTTTTTTCCTTTTCATCTTGGAAATTATTTTGACCTTAGGCTTTGATTTTCTTGTAGGTAGTTTATATTTTGATCGAAATTAGATTTGTGATTTATACTGTTTTATTAATATATTTAAAATATAGGTTGTGTCCACCCTTAAGCCAATTCTTGGCTCTGCCCCTGTCAATATTAACAAACATTCCCTAAGAATCTCCAATTAAGAGTATTATCTTTTAAGCTAAGACAAATTAGATGAAAAATGTTAGGGTTGTGAATTTGATTCATCAACACGAACAAGATATAAACCCGACACAATACGATTCTAAAATTAACACAATAGATAAATACACATAATAAATGAGTTGGATTAATGTATGATGCTTCTAACACATTAAATAATTTTTTTTCATAAATATTGATATGAGTATTGATGGTGCTTGGAATTAATGACCCAAACCGAACTATGATGGGATGATGTTCTGATTAGGTTTCGCAGATTGTGGATTAATCTTTTGTGATCAGTTAGACGGGGAATATAAGTGGTTCACCTTAGCCGATGGACTAAGACTACATCCACTATCAATGGAGTCTCTTCCTCGTTGGGTTTGTATATAAATCGATCGGAGGTGCGCCCCTTGAAACTAGGCACTCAAAGTCCTCTTACAAAGGATGAATGTCTAGGTATTCTCTTTTGACTTTCTATGCTTTTAGGCTCTTGAATGCTTACTGGTTTAGGGAGATGATGCCCTCTTGCCAGGTTATCGTTCTCTATTTATATTAGAGTCTCTTCTAGGATTTTCAATTGTCCTTTTCTTAGTATTGATCCATCTAGTCCTTTTATCTCTCCCTTCCTGCTTCTTCTGTCACCATGATCACTGTTCATCCGGCGCCTCTGCTCTTTCGGCGCTGTCGTTGCCACGATCTCTAGTGGCTTGTCACTACACCTTCTCTGAGACTGTCGTAGGTGTCAGGAGTGGTCCCCTGGATCCTTAGGGTGTGTGGTCCCCACTAGAGATCTAGAAGTGGCTTGGACTGGGTTTTCAACCTTTGGACCGCTTTACGGTTTGGACTGGGCATGGGTTGTTGGGTTATAGGCCTTCTGCCAATGCTGGACTATCCTTCTTTGCTCCGGGCTTCTTGGGCTGGTTAGGCTTTTGGGCCATCCAAGCCTTGGCCTTGAATTTCGTCTGTATTAGTTGTCCCCCAGCCCCAGGTCACGAAGATGTTACCATCTCTGGCCTGGGGTTAAAAATGATTTTCCTAGGCTCGTTATGGGCTTTTGAAATGATGACTATGCTCAGTTATCGGTCCTGATCAGGATTGGGCCACACCTTTGTTTGCCAGTGATGATGGGATGGTAATGCACGCGTGTCACCATTGGGTGAGCTCGTGGGTACGGCTTTTGTGGCGTGTCATGTCATTTTTCTGTCATGAATTTAATGCTTCACACATACATATATGTCCATCTAGGGGGAAGGTCCCTTGGTTTTTTCGTTCTGCAATTTTAAGTTCCATCTTCCTTCGTGCCTCTTTCCCTCTCTATGTTTTTGAAGCGTCTTGCTCCAGATTTTTTGGTGACTTATGACATCCTCCTCTCCAGTTCTCCTCTTCCTCTAACATTTCACTAGGTACGTCTTTATTCCCTTCTCCTTTCTATTTCGACCTGGATCCATTTAACCCTCCTTGGTGGGGTTTTGAATTCCGTTTCCAGATCTGGAGGTTTAGTTATTTTAGAGAACACTTCGACGACTTTTTTTCTCTTTCACGATTTGTAGGTCATTCTTCAGTGGCAAAGGTATCCTTATTTAGGGCCTGGTGCTTGAAACATTTGTTTTTGGCGGCTTGTGCCTTGCATTTACCTTCCCTTCACTCTAGTGGGAGATCCGACCTTTTGATGGGGAAGTTTGTCGTTTCTTCTTCCGAATCGGAGTTTGTTGAAGGGGAGGCTGAGGAGACCACCACAGCTTCCTCTAGTGGGCGTTCCCTTTCTGCTAGTGGTGAGGCTCCTGAATCTATTCCCAAAGTTTCATCCTCGGTGCCTCCAGTCGAAGCTGCGCCCCTTTCCAAGAAGCATGAAAGGTGTAATTCTACTCCCCCGAACTCACTTGCTTCTTCGAGTCTGCATTCTGTGCTGGTCTTTGATTTTCTATCCATCTTTTTATCTGGAATGTTCTTGGATTCTATAATGTCTGTCCAGCCCAACTGTCTCCTAACGGTTGGGGCCTCCTGGTTGGTTTCCTTTTTCATTGGTTTGAGAGTGGGAGCCTTTCTCTTCCCTCTATTCGAGAATTTGCTTCCCTTTTTCAGCTGAAGGCTTCTCCCTCCTTAGGTTTCTTGTATTTTGCCAAAAGGGTAAAGGCGAAGACTCTTATCTCCAGGC